ATCAGTCAGACAGTGCCGGCTGGCGACCCCCAGGGGGAGGGCCTTCTCAGTTGGAGCCCCCTCCCTATGGAACGAATTACCCCCAGAGATCCGGGTCATTCCGGATCTCCCCTCCTTCCGCCGCGCCCTCAAGACATGGCTATTCCAGCTAGCAGGACTGGCCTAAGGGATATTTTAATTTGATTTTAATTTGGTTTTTAACATAATTTTAAAAAGAAACGGCAAAAAATCAATATTTCATCTTAATTGTATTTTAAACTTAGTATTTTGTATGGTTTGTCTGTTTTTTAACTTGCTGTAAGCCGCCCTGAGTCCGCTAGGAGAAGGGCGGGGTATAAATTGAATAAAACCTAAAACCTAAAACCTAATGTTGGTATGGCGAGTTTCTAGCTGTTTCGGAACTGTTGGTGAGACCATTAAAAGTCGTTTGCGCTGTTTGAAATTGTTCTGCCGGCAGAAAGATCTGACTGCTGGCACAGTGACGGATTCTATTGCAAATCGGGGCTGTTTCCAAAGGAGGCAGAGGAGGAGAGGTCCCGGGGCTTATGGAGAGAGAGGCATGTGGAGGAGCTGGTGGTGGTGGCAGCGTGCTCCAGGGGCAAAAAGAAGCAAGGCCTCTTTAAGGAAAAGGTGGAAGAGTCAGGATCAGAAAAAGGAAAGGAGGCGAGGTTGTCGTGCAGGAATACAAGCTCATTTGAGGGCTAATCCACATAGAGCTCCCTTTCCATCTGTCCTGTTTGCCATCGTTCGCTCCCTAGAGACTAAAATGGATGATCTGAAACTTGAGCCACGAACAAGGAGTGTATATCGGAGGTAGTGACCCTTTGAGAGCTGTATGCTATGAAATTTCATTTTGATGTATGCCAATTGGTGTACATTCAAAGTGACAATAAAGTTGTTGTTGTTGTTGTTATTGTTGTTATTTTGCGGCCTTCTGTCAATTAAAGTCAATGGGAAAGCCAGATTCACTTAACAGCTGGTTACTGACTTATCAACTGCAGTGATTCACTTAACAACTGTGGCAAGAAAGGTTGTGACTTGAGGCAAAACTCACTTAACAAATATCTCACTTAGAAATTTTGGGCTCAATTGTGGACGTAAATCGAGAACTACCTGTAGTAGATTTCACACTGAAAAGACTGACGGGATCAATGGTTTCTCAGCCTTAGCAACTTTAAGGTGTGTGGATTTCAACTCCCAGAATTCCCTAATCAGCATGCCGGGTGGGAAATTCTGGAAATTGAAGTCGAGATGTCTTAAGTTGCCAAGGTTGAGAAACAATGGACTAGATGACTTTTAAGGCACCTTCAGCGTTTACAGTATGAGCTTCAATAATAGAAACCTCGTTTCCCCAATAAATGTGTATATGTATAAGTTATATATGCTAATCAAGAAGCAATCTCCTTCCACAGTCTACAGGAAAACTGCTATTCTTTTATTAAATAGTTATTGAATGTGTATTTATTTATTTATTTATTTATTAAATTTATATACCGCCCTATCTCCCTTACGGGACTCAGGGTGGTGAACAGGCGATACTAAAAACCACAATAATAAATAAATAGTTTCTGTTCTAAAATCAAATTAAATAACAGGCCTGTTCTAAAAACACCCCATACAAAAACCCCCACTAAAACATAATCAAACTACGCCAGGCCGGCCGCACTGAATAGATGGGCCTTCAGGGCTCTGTATAAATATTACAGTTGTTTTTTTAAATTAAATTTGTATACATATCATCCATACAAATTAAAACAGATCTGAAAAAATGTTTTATTTTTAAATCTTACGGTAATTTATTAGCAATTTTAAAAAGGCATTCCCTCCTATGTTAAAAAATGGAGGAATGACCGTTAAGATATTGTTAGCTATCTACACATTTATTTTAATGGAAAAAACCTTTACAATATTTTTAGAATCTGCTACCAAATTATCACAAGCAGTGAAGTTTGTTAAATAGAGTCATTGATTCTTTTTTTAAAAAAATGCATGAAGGTTGCAGCCTTAGAAATAAGGATTCTTTGTATTATTTCAAAATCAAGCAATAGTAGATAAGTTCTCCTTTCCTTTCATAATAATGATTAAGATGGTCTAAACACTTAGTCTTAACAGTAATTTGTGTATTCTTGAAATGGGTCACATGTAAACTAGACAGATATATACCAGACTCACCTCACTGTGCTTCTGTTCTCCATACTTCCCATTGAGATTAGCCAGGTGGCAGTTCTTATACCACCAGCCACCATGGTGTGTTATCGCGCAGTTGGTGATAGCTATATCATTATCCTTGTCCAAGGTTGTAAATTTCCTACCATTATGGTAAGTCATGGCATCCCCTTAGGAGAGAAAGGGAGCATTAGAACCGAAGACATGTCCTGAGTGGGCAGAAATACAGTTAAATGCCTTTCAATGCCTCCACACACAGACGCAGACCCATGCAGAACAGATATAAAATCCTGCCCAAGCATAATTCAATATCAGTTAATCCTGGGTTTCTCAGTGCATTGCCCATAAGCACAAATGTTCAGCAGTCACCTCTCTTGCTGCCCTCAGGCTCCAATCAAGATTTTTTTCCCAATTTGTATTATTAAGAATAATTAACCAAGAAGCTGAGCAATGCACCAGGTTGGCATCTTTATACTGAATACCTATAAATATGCATACACATCTTAAGTTGAATGGTGCTGACAGGGAATGGCTTAGCCTCAAAATGTGTCTCAGCACCAAGTTCCTTTTCTCCACTTGATGTCATCAACCCAGGTACATGAAAGTTTTTCCCAATCTTTAAAATTACTGGAAAGTAACTAACTGCATCCCTTTACCAAGGCAATAAAAAAACAATATGCCTTCAGCAGAATTTCTCAGCTTCAGAAATTGGCTTTTCTTTTTCAGGTTCCTTTTTTCCTTTCCTGATTTCTGAGAAATTGGACAACTGGATAAAATTTCAAAGGGTGTTTTTATTTTTATTTTTTTTTGTACACTGTCTGCTTTGAACCAGAGAAGGGAATGGACAGGAGTGGGGAGGAAGAGGGAGCCAAAAAGGGTGTATGCATGTTTGTGAGTAAAGGAATGTAAATATATTTCTTGACCTTGGCTAAACTATTTTCTTTCTGAGTGAAAATATTATGGTTTCAAATACATTAATTTGCTTATTGTTGTTTTCCAGGCAGACAAAAGGAAGTACAGTATAGATCAGTGGTGGCGAACCTATGGCCCGGGTGCCAGAGGCGGCACTCAGAGCCCTCTCTGTGGGCACGCGCGTCGTCGCCCCAGTCCTAGGTCTTCAGCTGGGTTTTATAAAACCTTTTCGCTTTAGGCCTCCGCTGCCATGTGCAAAAAAAAAAAAGTTCAATCAATCAGTCAATTTCAACTTCTTGCGGGAAAAAAAAAGATCTTGCAAAGTTGGAATTGATTGACTGAACTTTTTAGTCCCACCCAGTCTGCCATTACCACCGCAGCCGTGCCCACCCAATGGGCCACACCCCCCCAATGGGCCACACCCAGCCAATGGGCCATACCCACCCGGCACCCGATGATGCATAAGTGGGTTTTGGGTTGCAGTTTGGGCACTCGGTCTCTAAAAGGTTCGCCATCACTGGTATAGATATTTCCCAGATATGTCTGTTCTGTGACTGACTATATTTTTTCTTAATTATATTAAATGGAATAGAAGGCACCATCATATCATGTAAGCAGCATGAAAGAACATGCTGCTGAATGTTTGGTGTACATTTTTTAAAAAATTTAATTTTGTGGCTGGGCTTTCTCATTTATGCATGCATAATCCCCTTATGGAAGTTACTTGCTAAAGCATCCCTGATATACAACATTTCCAAAGTGCCCTTGAATATAAGTTCAGGAAGCCCTGAAAAATTGGTTGCTACTCAGATAGATGTGAGATTTTGCTTTTTCACTATTTGTTTCCACTTCTCCCTCTAATATCTCCCATTTGGTTTTTTTTATTTGGTTTTTTTATTTGAAACTTAATAAAGTTTTATTTAAAAAAAATAAAAGAAATATTTACCAGCAGTGCCTCTGTAGTTTCCCAAAGACAGCTTGTATCGATCTCTGCTGGAACCCACCTGGAAGAAGTCATAGGTGGCATAGGCTGACTCGTTGTGAGTCTGTAAATCTACCCTCAGCTCATAGGGAAGGCGGGCAGACCTGGTGAGGTTATTCAATTTTTCTAGGCCTGCAAGAAACATTCTAGAATCAAATTTAAGATAGGCTTGTCAGGTTAAGGACAAACTTGTCAGACCTGTCCCAGCTTGGGCATTCAGGAAAGAAAGACTCTTGACTCCATTTGTAGTGAAAGATATATTTTTTCTAATGTCAAGTGCAAAGCCAGATCTGAGGATTTCCCACTTAGTTCCGGTAATTTTGCCTTCTAACAAGCTCTTCCCCTCTTGATCATCTTGGAGGTATCCAACAAGGTTCAAATTAGGTGTTTTTGGTAACAGCTCCACATTTTGGAACCTCTTCGGCCCAACACTCCGCATTCCATTCCCAAGCTTGTGTCTTTAAATCTCTCATCCTGTCATCCCCCCTCCCTATATCGCTTTCTCTGTCCTCTCCCCTTTTATGGCAGGATGCCATCGAAGCAAAACAGGGATGAAGAGATGCAATGACAGACCTGACAAAACTATTATAGTCAAGGCATTTTTAAGTCAAGAAGAATTCTTCCATAAGAAATGGAGTTATTTGTATAGAATAAACAAATATTATACAATCATTTCACTCATGTCACTTTACTCCAGTTCATTAACAGAAATACTTCAATTTCCCATTCTAGGAATGTGTGTATGTGTGTGCGTGTGTGCATGCATGCACATATTTGTGTGTGTGTGTGAGAGAGAGACAGACAGAGAGAGTGAGTGTGTGTGTGTGTGTGTGTGTGTGTGTGTGTGTGTGAGTGAATGAGAGACACACAGAGAGAGAAGATATTAACTCTTCCAAGTACATAATAAAGCTGGTTTATCATTTATATATCCCTTTATCTGCTCTCTAGCAAAGTTTATGATGGAATACAGATGCCATTTAGTAATAGGAAACTTTAAAAACTACAAACTGAACATTAAAGCAACGTCACGCCCAAGCCCAGAGATGACATAGCAAAATCCTATCAAGTTCAGTCCTTTATTTGCTTACTCCCAATAGACAGAGTCTTGCCAAACTAAAGCTATAACCATCTACTAGATATATCTTGAGGGATTCTAGGCTGTGGCTAAGCTGAACCTTTTCCTCTCTGGGTTCGAACTCTACATTGTCAAAACTCTCTCTCACTGCTCCTGTAGGGGCACATTCCATCACAGTCCATCACCCCCACTCTATTCCCAGTAGCTAATGATTTTCAAGCAAAGTTATGACTCTCTATAGTACGGGTGTCAAACTTGCCATGTCACGTGAAGTATTGTGACGTATCGCGACTCTTTTTGCATTGCCGGCAATGGGGTGGGCACGGCTTCAGTATGATGAAACCGGCCCGTGGGCCAGCAGTTTGACACCCCTGCTCTATAGCATTGCAAAACATGATCTGAGGTGCTGGGTCCTTACACACTGTATAGCCAGATAGTACTAAATGCAATGTTATTGTTGTTTTTAAATAAAACTCTTAGAATCTGAGCCTACTTTGGCACACTATAGGCATTCTTCTAGCCTTTTTATTATGATTGACTTACAATCAGAATCAAGCTCAGAATTTTTGTCATAAGTCATTGTAGTTTTAAGTTGGTCACCACATAACCTGATTTGATTTTACAACTGGTTTTACAAGAGATGTTTAGTGAATACATGGCTGTTAAGTGAAGCACATAGTTATTAAACAAATCCAGCATATTCAATGGGTGCTTTTTGTTGTTTTCTATCAAAAAATGGCACAAGTCACAAATCATGGTCACGTGATCACAGAATGATGGAACTGATTGTAAGTTTGAGCTGGTTTAAATGTGTTTGAAATACCATCATGTGACTGCAAGGGTACATGCAACAGTTGTAATTTCAATTTCAAAGGTCACATGTTGTAACCTTTTTTGAAACCATAACTTTGAATGGATGTTAAACAACTGGTTGTTAAGTGAAGACTTCCCATAGTATTGAGACTCTAAGAACTGGGGGCATGGAAGGAGTAGTGTGGAGATTCAACATCCATCATCAGAAAAGTAGAATCCTTCCATTAGTATTTCTGCATTAATAGTGGTTCTTCCAAAAAGCCTATACATTTATCTTGAACTATGTTCAGAAAACAATATACCAAGCCAAAATTCTCCAGAAGAACTTCCAAAGCCTTCAACATAATTCTTCCATCTCTTAGAGAAATCCAGCTGCCCTGTGGACCTCCGCTGAATCATCTGTAAAAGCAGGCAGAAGCATATAAAAATTGATTCACTGAATATTAATTCTACTTATAGAGTATCAAACATAGAAGAAAAATGGAAGGTAATCTAGTAGATATAAATAGACTAGAAGAAGGTATAGAAAGTTATATATGAATTCTCACTGAATTTGAGAGTTCAAGATAATACTATTTCATTTATCGAACAATCGTGGTATCAAGCAAGCTATCCATTTTTATTTCTCCTTTGGTAGACAATTCTTCAAACCATTTAGTTCATATCTTCCCCCTACTTTTTCATTTCCATATTTCCTGGCTACAAAAGCACACACATACACTGACTCAGAACAAACAACCTATCCTCATGTGGTCTCATTAAGATTATTTGTTTATATGGAGAACTAATTAATATACTCTTTTGTGTACCAAAACTTTTAAAGTGAGAAAAAAGAGAACTGCACCTGTTTCAAAATTCAAAGTATGTCTGTTTTTGTGTATAGTACACCACAGAGAGAGAGAGAGAGAGAGACTCCATATTAAATCATGAAACAGGAAAAATATGAGGTAAGACAGAAGGTCAGCAATGGAGACTCATGACTAACAATGAACTGTTTGTATTTAGAATCAAAGTATGCAGAGGTTTCAAGGCTAATTGGTTGCAACTGTGATAAGCATGCAGGAAAAATGGCAAACTCAATCCAAACTCGTTTAGTGACTGCCTCAGACAGCAACAGTTCAGTTATGACAGGAAGAGGTAACTTTGTAACCAAACCTTGTGTTTATGACCTTTGCAGGTCTGTACAGCAAAGCAAAGGTGAAGTAAGATCTGTTGCAGTTTCACTTAGTAATTGTTTTGCTTAACAGCCAAGTCGCTGATCCCAATTGTGGTTGCTAAACAAAGACTACCTGTACTGAGAATAGCTGGAATTAATAATGTTTCGAAAGTAATGAAAACAACACTCACTATCCATCCCCCTCCATCAGTGGTCATGTCACAATATACCTCAAGGGGTCTGCTGCTGTCACCATTCAGATAGATGGTATATAGGCCGCTGATGGAATTACCATTTTGCTGGGTTTGGCTGCAGTCCACAGGGTAGGGATAATGCAAACTGACTTCAGGAGCAAAACAAATAAGAGCTGACATTATTAAATCCAAAGATCAAGATAAAAATGCAGAAAAGTCTTTGAACAATTCTGTGGCAAAAGAAGGCTAAGGCCAACAATCTAAGCCATTAACAGTAGAGAAAAAGAAAAGAAACATTAAGATAGCAAGGCATGAATCTAAATTCATGTGAGTCTAAACTACTAAACACTGATAAGACTTTTACTTCCCAGGGAACATTTTGTTGCTTGTTTCTTTCTTTATTTAATTCATATGTCACCCAAATCCCAGCAATTTAGGAACAATTTTTACATGCAACTGCATTTTAGGACTATGTCACTGCATTTACTCAGAGTCACCTGTCCATAACCTTGTAGTTCTCCATCTTCTATATTTCCCCCCACTATTTTATTGATTAGATATGAAGAGATGTCTAGCTTCCTTTGGGAAAAAAGAAAGGAAAAGCAGGTGTCTGCCCCGAAGAAGTTTCCTAATAACATTCTATAGAGTATATTTCAGAATCCTGTTGCCCCTTTTGAAATTCCTTTATCCATTACTGAGACCCTGGCAGTTTTCTGCACATTGCCACCTAAATTGGTTTCTCTGGTCTTTGTTGTGTAATATATCTTCTGAACAATGTGGCTGCTTGAAAGCTGTTACTAGGTCATTGAGAGTTGTATCGTGCTTTCCTACTTATAAAAGTGCTATTTTTTAATGTATATTCTTTTAACTGTAAGTTTCCTTTTGATTCTCCAAACAGGGAACGACACGGCTAAATTTCAAATAACAAATCTGTCATTTATTCAGACTAATATTCTATTCCGTTCCACTCCACTCCATTCCATTCTGAACTGGTGGATTGAACTAGACTAATCTCTAAATGCTGACATTTTTTAAACTACTAGCCTTCATCCTATTTCTGAATAGCTACTGCACTTCAAATTTGATTATTATTTCTTTTATCAATTTTGGACTGTTTTCAGACTAGTTTATTAAATCAATAATATTCTCATATGAGAAACAGGAGGTTTAACTTACAAAACGAAAATGCAAACATTGGTTAGTTTATTCTGAGCCCCAAAGTCTTTTTGTATTTGTTATGATATCGTCAAATACTTGGTTATAAATATAAATATTCTTTTTTGTTATTGTGGTTTTCAGTTGCATATTTTCCTACTAACATTCCATTTTCAAACCATCTTTTACTGTAAGTTCTTACTCCAGACAAAAGTCATTCCAGTTCAAGTTCATTCCCAGTTCCTTCTTCTTTTAAGGACACACTACATATTTAGCACCTAAATATTACAATATGAGTGTTCACAAGGCTTACTTGTAGAAAAAGTGGTGGTCACTGTTCGACTCCTGCGATCTCCCTTAACGGCTGTAATGTATATGGTATACTTAGTACCACGACTTAAGTTTTCTAGAACAAACTTTCGATCATTTGCTCCAAGTCGCACTTCCTGCCACAAAGAAAAAAGAGACTGAAATTATATTTCACTAACACATTAACCCTCCATTCCTATGAGCTGCTTTCCCCCCAAAGCTCAGTGATGAATAGGAAATTACATGACTGACTAGGATCACTGGGGACAGCAGGTGACAAAAAATGCATGCTGTTCTGAAACATTAAAATGCAGACAGTATGTGAATAGAATAGGATGCATTGATATTCTCATTTACACAGGGAACTTTTTTATTTCCTGAATCACAAATGCTCTTTAACCATTTTGCGAAACCTATCAATCTTTAGGGTTTTATTCCCTGCTCCATTTCTGAATGCACAGTTTTTATCACCATTGCTTGTCTCATTTACTTTTATATTTTTAGGTGCCTTTTTGATAGTCTAATAAAACATTGTGTGTCTGCAGCATAACATTTAACATTGAATACGAGGCAAAACCTTCTCCTCATACTTCGTGACAGTTTGATCTAGTGATTAAGGCACCAGCCTAGAAAACCGGAGACTGTGAGTTCTAATCCTGCCTTAGTCATGAAAGACAGCTGGGCAACCTTGAGCCAGTTACTATCGCTCAGCTCAACTCATTTCACAGGGTTGTTGTTGTAGGAAAAATAGGAGAGGGAGTAGTGTTGGATACGTAGCATCACCCCTGAAAGGGCCACTAGAGTCTGGATTCCTCTATCCCCTTTCCCAGGCTCTTCCCTGTTACACAGTCATTCCCCAGTGTCTCAGTGTCCATTGTTCTGGACATCAGTCTCCTCTGATCTCTTGCCCAAGCACTTCCACTCACCCAGCTCTGGTCACCTCCACTGCCCACTGGGGTGTCTGGTACCCCTCTGTTCACTGGTCTGCCCTCTGCCATCTGCTGATACATCTGGTACCCCCCCTCTAGTCACTGGCTTGCCCACTTGCCTCGATCGGTTCATCTCCTTGGTGTCTGGCACCCCCTCTGGTTACTTGCCCATTAGTCTGGGTCTGCTCGCCTCTGCCATCTCCTCTCCCCTTTCAGGATTCCAGCCAATTCTCCCCTCAAAAGTCTTCCCACCAAACCCTGGCAGAACCCCCTTCTCTCCTTTCCCCACCTCTTTCTCCCTCACTGGAAGCTTCAGGGCTATTTTAACTAAAAATCCTAACTCCTCAATTTCTAACCTTGTCTGAGATAAATACCCACCTCCCACTCACTTACAAGTTTCCAGCCAGTTCTCTCACCAAAAACCTGACAGAACCCCCCTTTTCTCCTTTCCCTGCCTCCAGGCCTCCCCTTATTACAAATGTTTGCCACCTTGAGTTATTTGTAAAAGTAAGGGTAGATAGAAATAAATAAATAAATAAAATGACAGATAAACATGAAGGCATGGCAAGAACCATTTTCAGTCTTTCTGTACCACACCTACACTTTTTTCTGTATCAGGGATATCAGCATCCTCCACAAACACAGCATGAATTTCTGCAGAGAGGGCCCTTCAGCATATGCATGTCTGTGTGATGGAATGTGCACCTGCTGGAGCAGTGGTGGCAGGATTAGCAGAGTTTTCCCAGAGAGGTGTCGAGATTAAGAGACTACACAGTCTGAGATGGATGGGGGAATGGGGAAGAGGATCAGAATAGCCACACACTAGAACAGGGGTGTCAAACTGCCAGCCCACGGGCCGGACGCATCACACGGAAGCTGCGCCCACCCCATTGCCAGCAATGGCAAAACAGTCCCGATACGTCGCACGACGTCACGTGACGTCACAAGTTTGACATGTCTGCACTAAAAACTCTCAGGATATATCTAGCAAATTAGAAGATTGTAGCTTTAGTTTGGCAAGATTCTGTCCATTAAGTGTAAATAAGTAAAGGACTGAACCTAATTGGATTTTAATGTGTCACCTCTGAGCTTGAACCTGACATCTATATCTTCAAGTCAGTTTTTGACTCCTGCAATCGACTGGATTAATCCCTGCAGTTTTCCTGACAAGTTTTTCGGAAGTGATTTGCCCTTGCCTACTTCCTAGGGTTGAGAGAGGGGGACTGGCCAATGCCTAATATGGGACTAGAACTAACAGTCTCCTGATAGACATATACCTGGCATGTAAAATCCTCCTTGTAGATTTTTGCAGCTGACATCATAAAAAAATCCAACTTGCTGCTCATTCCTTTCTTGCATTAGTGCCCAGCACTGGAAGAAAAGTTGTGTTTTCCAACATGCTGGGCCTTTTCATGATGCATTATTTGCTGATAATTGTAGCTTAGTTTCTAGGAGCCATTACCTGACTGCTATTGTAAGAATGCTATTGCCTGAATGCATTTTTCATCTTGTATATTATTTTCCTGCCCTATAATTTGTTTTTATTTTGAAGTAATTGTAAGTTATTTGTTTTTACTTTGAAGAAATTATTAGTTATTTGTTGTGAATAATTATTGAAATAATCATATTATTTTATCAAGTTTTGAGGCCACATGATGTGTTTTGTTGCATATATCTTTTGGATTTAGTATCAGCTGCCTAGAACTAAAGAACATAAAAACCTATGTACAAAAAAAGACAAAACAAGACATTAGAATCAGGTTCAATTTATGGCAAATCTAGATGTGTTGTTGTATGTCTGTTGTCTGAAATGACCTAAGCATGTCTGCCATATGCTAATAGCTGGGCTGATCAATTTCACATATGGTGCATTTAGCAGGCTTACCTTACTGGTGCCAATTGGATCTTGATAGGTGAGATGATAGCCACTGATTTGAGCATCTGGGGGCATCCAAGTGACTACTCCACTGGACTGTGTCATGTCTGATACACGGATATTCTTTGGTGGATCAATATCTAGACAAAGCAGTGACCAGCATGAAAACACTCAGAAAGCTATTATGAGACTCAAAGAAATTGTATGCATATTCTATGTTGCCTTTCTGCAAAGAGGAGTTGAACAAATTCCTCTTTGTTCTATGTATCTTCCTCTTTTCCCTGAGCAGTTATATTGTTCTACAATTACCCTTCCTTTTAAAATACTTGGGGCTGCAATATTGTTATCACTTCTGCCCTGGTTTGTCTCAGAAGAAGCAAAGATTGCTCCTTTGAAAGCACATGTCCATATAGTTTTCTGGACAACAATAACAATAAATTTAATAAATAAAAATATAAATTTAATAAATAAAATAAATAAATAAAAACATAGTACTTTGTACTTTGTTACTGTCATAGTACTTTGTTACTGTCCACTTCCCGAATATTTTTTTCAGTTCTAAAATTTCCTGGCAACTCATCTCACAAATCACTGTCTTAATTTGTCCCATATTGAAATTATAAAGACAGCACCATTCAGTGTCCTTATTACTAAGGCAGAATAAGGCTAAGTCATCAAGGCAATGCAATTTATATTGGCATTTTTTCTGCCAACATAGGGACTGGAAGATAGCATATTAATACAGCCATTTGGATGTGTGCTAAGAAACAGAGAAATTAGGGAAGAATCAACCCCAGAATCAGTAGTTGAGGGGAAAATTTATGCACATGCCTAGGAAATACTGAAGGAGGTGCTGAGATCCAGCAGTAATATCTTGGAACCCAGCTGTTTCTTTTTTCTTTCATCCAAGATATACAGCTTTAGAATACATATTAGGATACATATTCTATGTATACTGGCATGGCCTTTTTATATTGAAGAATGACAAACCAGCTCTATCACCCTGTAAAATATTATAGTCCTCAATTCTATGCATATAATCTAAGAATTTCAGGAAATAGATATCATGGTTCCGACAGATGAAACTCTTCAAAAGAACTTTGAGGCATTGTTTACCTTAAAGAATCAACGCTGCTAACATCGGATGTTTTTGCTTTGACAATAGATATATAATTTACATCATGCGTCGATGCAGGTAATGCATCTAGGATACAACACGAACAGCTGGGTCCGGTGACGCGTTCCAGAAGCTGGATGCAGGCTGCTAACATCGTATAAAAGCATTTTCCCAGTGACTACTTTTAAAGCCCTGATGATGTTGGGTGGGCCCAACGAAAGCTCGGCTCATTAAATTTTTACTATTTTCCTCTTGGTGGTCGGTATTTATTGGTTTTATCATATAATTTACAGAAAGCATATATTTTGCTCTACAAGAGGCTGAATCAAAGATTTTATAGATAAATGAGGCAGTGACATATGCAAGAGAGAAAGAGCACAGTTCTGTAAGAAACTTTCTAATGCCCCCAGATGAAAAAGCCAGACTGGAGATCTATTTATTTATTTATTTATTTATTAAATTTATATACCGCCCTATCTCCCTTACGGGACTCAGGGCCGTGAACAGGCGATACTAAAAACCACAATAATAAATAAATAGTTTCTGTTCTAAAATCAAATTAAATAACAGGCCTGTTCTAAAAACACCCCATACAAAACCCCCACTAAAACATAATCAAACTACGCCAGGCCGGCCTCACGGAATAGATGGGCCTTCAGGGCTCGGCGAAAAAGGCGCAGGTCCGCAACTGTACGTAGGTCGGGGGGTAGGTCATTCCAGAGGGCAGGAACTGCCACAGAGAAGGCTCTCCCCCTGGGGGTCGCCAGCCGGCATTGTCTGGCCGACGGCACTCTAAGGAGGCCCTCTCTGTGGGAGCGGACTGGTCGAAGGGAGGTGTTTGGTAGGAGGCGGTCTTGCAAATACCTAGGTCCATTGCCATGGAGCGCTTTAAAAGTTGTTACTAACACCTTGAAGCGCACCCGGAAGGC